TTTAAAATATTAATTTATTAATAATACTATTTCAAGTCAACTCAAGTCAAGTTGAGTTTGAGTTGAGTTTAAATTGAGTCGAGTTAAATATTTAATTCGACTCGAATTTGATTTGACTCGCAAATCATCGAGTCAAAAAAATATAAACTCGACTTGATTTAAACTCGACTCAGCTTATCTGACTCGTGAGTTAACTCGACTCGTCCGGAACTCTAATTAGGTAAATATATTATGAATCAATACATCATTTTTCTCTAAATGCTGAAACTAAAAGTACTTTTATATCCATAAATCAACTTTACCTGTAACTGGTATCAGGTGCATAAATTTTTTCACAAACACAAACTTACATATATAAAAACTATATCTTCATAAGCCTCTACATTTTCTTTTTCAAACTTAATAATGGAAGAAATTTCTACTAGAACAATGTTAGACATGGTTAAGGATTTTAATACAAAGGAGCTTATCGATTATTTAGGGAGAAAAGACTTGAAACTTGATGAGAATGTTATTAAATTCTTCGTAAAGAGAAAATATCTGGTCTTGCCTTTCTTAACACAATTAAAGAGGAGTTTTAAAGCTATAACTTGAAGGCTGGTTCTGTAACAATATTTGCAAAATTTATCGAAGGTTTTGACCAAAAAATAAGAAACTATTTCTCGCTTAAAACTCTCAATGACTTGAAAGAAATGTTGCGTAAAAATAAGGTCAATGGAGAAGATATAACAAACATCAAGCAGTTTACTCCTAGTAAGTAATTAATTAATTTTCAAAACTAACTAGATAGCCATGTTAATTTTATTTTTCTTTGTAGCCTTTGAGAAGATCAATGATGATGATAAGGCATTCGAATACTATATAAAAGACATTATATTAAAACTTTCAAATGTGAAAACTATGACTGATGCCAATGAGGTAATGTGTTATGAATTTATTTCATCAATTCTCTATGTATCCATCACTATAGCTAAAAAACTTACCTTTCAAGATATATTTATAGTTTTACAGAAAGATATATCTGATAAGGATGCAATAGGCAGAGTAGACTACGCAATCAAAAGTCTAGAAAATCTCCTATGTATTACCAAAGGAAAGTCTCGTAATATTAAAATCAGATATGCACAGGTATATTTACTATCTGTTCATGCTTTATAGAAGATTCAATAGTATTAATAGCATTTTATTTTTTCTTTAGAATCTGACGCAACTTGAAAGTGCATTCCAGACTAATAAAAAGAAATGAACTTTGGATCAAGCATTTGGGAATGACTATTTTGACTATATCTATAGTATTGTGACCACTTCTCCGCAGTAATTTCACAAACATGTTCTGATCTATCTTCTTCGAAATTTTGAATTCACCCGCTTATCTATAGACAACACAGATTATGGTCTGTAAAAAGAATAAAAGACATATTCAATCTACACCATCGGCAACTTCAGCATCAGCCAATAAGACTCAGCCCAAAAGCCTTACAGTAACAGATACGGAACTACAAGAACTTATATGCCAAGGTTTAATAGTTGATGAAGTTCACGAAGTATTATCATATGATCGAAAAAATATGCCTTGGGTTGATAACTTTATTAATCTTTCGATTGAGCTCAAATACCAATGCAATGATCCAAGAGAAAAAGCATATCACGCCTTAATGAGAGAACTATTTAGCATGAAGGCATTTCGTGATGCATCCAGTCAAGATGGTCTCATTTCTAAGGCGGAATATTATGGAAATAAATAGACAACTGCATAGCAGATTTCATTATTCGAATGGGAAAAGGTAAAAAAGGATGGTTGAGTCGTGGATCAGTTGCAACATTGCGCCAAGTGACAACTACGAAAAGAGTAATGGATTTGCTTAATGTTGCTGAAAATAAAGGCCCTGAATCGCATGGCTAAATAATCGTTTTTTAGAAGTTTACATGTATGTCGAATACTACGGGTTAGTTTTGAATTGTAATTATTTTTTATGTTGTCTCATAATAATAAAGCTACAATACATCGTTAAAAATCACGTGGTGCGTGACTTCTGCAAAAATACTGCAGTACATTTATTTTTAGTGGATCTATTAATACCCGGCTAAGAAAATTATTTGTTGTAGCTCGTCATTTTTTTACTTGAAAGTTCTATTATAAATTAATTAATGATTTGCGAAGATTGATCCAGTGCCGAAGATCATGATGTTAGAATGAAATGAAAATGGAAATTAGGAGGTGGATAAGCAGATCGACCCAATTGCCACAGAATAATTTTTATTACCTGTTAGCGTTAGCATTAGCCAAAGACGCGTAATCCCAATTAATATTCCATTTTTAATGAGTTACTTGGATTTGTCATATTAACGAAAATTTTCCCCAAAGATCTTAGACTCACTGCAAACTCAGTTGCTAATCCCTGAACTTATGCTGTAGGTTCGAAATTACTTAATCTCAGTACGTGGATTAATCTTTTACATAGTCTGTGCGGGTATTAGTGATATAGATAGGTGTAGAGTGTGAGGATAAGAATCTCGTATTTAGTAATAGTGATAGAAAAATATATTATAAAAATTTCAAAGAAATAATTTGATGCTGGGACTCGCATTTAATGGCCTAGGATCTGCGTACTCCCTCCCTCTTTGATAGCATCAGATATTTCCACTAATTATATGTCCCGCACTATATCTAAAAAATTAATAAAAATGTTATTTGAAAAAATTCTCAACAAAAAAATATTGAAGACTTAAATATATCTGTATAGTAAAATGAACAATTATAACGGAAAAGCCAATGAGTCACCGCCAAAGTGGCAGTCGTGAAGCTCTTTGGAGGATAGTAAACTCAGTTTGCTCATCGCCCAAGTGGCAGTCATGAACACACTGGCCTTTTCAATTTATGACAAGCAAGATCGCCGCCAAAGTGGCAGTCGCGACCCGGCTTGAGCAAAGTTTACATCCCAGAGACTCGCCGCCAAAGTGGCAGTCGCAAAGTACTCTGTCATTTTCCACCTTTCGAGTACCCGCCGCCAAAGTGGCAGTCGCAAAGTACTCATTTTTCACCTTAGAATTCACCGCCCGCTTACATCTGAAAATCATAACCCTAAAGTGCCTAAATGATGAATGATCGATCACGCATATAGTTTTCCATTTTTATTTTATAGTGAGTCACATGCACAAATGGGCGTGCTATAAATAGTAAGATTACTGTCTATCGTCTACGTATTTGTCGCGGTCGCGTTTTTCTTTCACTATCAAATTTATATAAGATAATGTCAGTTAACAAAACCCCAAATAATAGTTTTACTGATCCCTGGTCATATTATGTTGAAAACGATACAGAAAATTCGACAGTTCATCCGTACTTTAATGCCGTACAAGCAAGATTTTGGACCTTCGAACATTACGTTAATTGGTTGTATAATAATGTTGAGCTTCCTATTTGGTCCACATGCGTATCTCAATTTTACGGGTCTTTAAGTACCGTCAATAAAATCAAAAATGCACCTCTTTGTGTTCGAGCGTATGCGAAAAGTGTTATGGAAACTATGAATGTAAGTACAGTACCAATATTTATTTGCTTGGCTTGCTTCCGGAAGGCTCATGAAATTATGAATTAGGAAGAGGAGAATCAGCATATAATGGAGGATCTTGAGGATACATATCTAGCACTATTGAATGATTGTTACCATTTACTGGTACTAATTGAATGGAAAACTTACGCACATAGTTTGAAATCCAAAATAGAATTTGTTGCATGCACAAACGAATAAGAAGGCTTATGATAATGCCACAGATGTTAATTCCAATCGACAGGCGAACAAAAAAAAAATTCCCGTGAGCAGAAAAAGAGAAGAACAGACGATAGTGACGATGAGGAAGCTATGGAAGGATCTGTTCTCTTTGATGAATCGAATGAGGACACTTTAATTGATTCCATAGATGAGTCTGGGTTGAGAGAAGAAGCAGTGTTGCCAATTTCAGAAACGATCCATGATGTAAGTTTTTTTTTGTTAAAGTCAAGACTTGATAATTACATTCCCAGCATGCTGATTCAACTATGCTTAATAGACTTCAAAGCAGGAATTTTTACAAAGTATCCGAGAAATTCAATAAATATCAGGGAAAAATTCCTAAGACGCGTCGAATAATAACGTGAGCTTTGTTATTGTGATTTCAACTTGATAAATTACTTGTTCTTAATTTTGCTTGCTATTTAATAAATTGGGTTATTGGGCATCTTTGATCTAACGCAACAGAGCCTCTATGGATGCACGGATTTCTCCCAAAACGAAATCAGTAAAATCGCGCAAGATTTTGCCAATCACGTTCATTGGTCTCCACAACGAACTCCAGATTATCTTCAGCAATATTTTGATTCTAAATGTGATCCCACCGAACTTAAAGATAATGCGATGGTTGATAAAATACACACGAATATACAATTTATGTAAGGTTTTACTTATCATTATCTAGTATTTTTGCAATTACACTGATATCTAATGAGATTTTCCTTTATCAGACTCTATAACATGTCTAAAAAAGGAGATAAGACGGAAGAAGAACATAAATTCGTTACCATATATCCTTTATTCAATGCTTTCATGGACCTTTCGTTAATAAAAGATACTTGGTACGTCATTGCGAGTTGATTACAGCAAAATACATAGTACTAAGAAGTTTGTTTATGTACATATAGGGGAGAGACCCAGACACTTTGCTCGAAAGATATGAGGAATGAGAATGCAAATCCTTTCGTCAAAGCTCGTATGGGGCGAAAGGTTGATATAAAAGGCACACTGACGAGGACATCCAATAAATTCGAAGCCTTGTACGGAGAGGTTGCAAATGGGTTAAGTTCACTTGGAACATCACTTGCGTCGCAAAAAAAGAAATACTTAGACAAAGTCAAACTTGCAGTATTAATGCGAGACTCGTTAAATAGTACTTTAAAAAAATGGAAATATTTAAATGATGAGCAGAGAAAAAAGATTATTGTATATGGTTGGACACTTGTAGGTGGGCAGATATTTTATGTAGACATTTGCCTGGACTTTGCTATATGACTAATATATCCCATTCAATATAGGATTTGATTTATCTTTGTATGCGATGGATTGGACTGAAAATGGAATATATCGCTTTGGATTGATAGAAAATTGTCATCTTCCATCAAATAAAGATGAATGTGCCTTATTTGAAGGCGCCTTTTGCCTTTTGAAAGAATTGGAGGTATGTATATCTTGTTCTTGTCCTATAATTATAATCGTTAAATACTCAATTCATCTGGTTTCGTGCAGAGGAAATTGAATAAAACAGAAAAGCTCATCTAAGAATTACATGTTGCAAATACGCGTGGAAAGTGTAGACAAGTAGCTACTGAGAATAGCCCAACCCTAAACTTTAATAGAACTCCGAACTGATTCAACCGAAATCATAATCGTAATAAAGTCAAGAATTTCAGACTCTCATCATTTTTTTAGTCATGCTTATCATGACATTATTAACGAGTTCATTCACACACAATATATAGCTGATAGTGAATTATTCTTTGATGGTTTGATGTATAAAAAAAAATTATTTGAGATAGTCTTTACATTTTTCAAAATAGGCATAACATAACATCATTTTAACTTTGTATATGCATAGGGGCTTCGCAAATGTATTTTATAATATAATCTATAATACACGCAAAAGTGTATTACTTCGTGTGAATGCTATGTATCAGAAAAATAAAAAATTTTGCAAATTGAATTTTATAAGAACATATTCAAGAAATTAATGGGCTGTAAAAAGAATTGTGCACAACCAGTTTGCATTAAGTATTTCAGAAAGCGAGAAGGGAAATACTATCTGTTATGTTTGTGATAAACATTTCATTTGCCCTTGTGATAGTGAGGGATGTACCAAACCAAAAGAACGCACATGTGCCTTAGCCTCTTATTCCAATACATATCCCATGTCTCGTTTATTACCTACTAATGATGGGTGCTATCTGGTACATGCATGCTCTGATTCATGTGCTCGGCAGATTAATAAACAAAGCAATGCATATTATAGATCAAAAAATATTAAAAAAGCTAATGATCATCATTGCTGTTCATATGTTCCTGATAGAGCTATAAATGCATTTAAAGCCTATAACAAAAATCTATGTCATCGAGCAGAGAAAAAAGGAAATAATTTCGAATCAATGTTTTTTGATATGATGAACAATGCTATAGAAGAGGCCTGTACAGATCGTTTAATAAAACATCTTTCGGCTAATAAGTAAAATTTTCAGAGTGGTGCTTTAGACTTTTTTTTTTGATTGGTCAATCATCTCGTGATTTATAGAAACTCGCCAGCTCCTGGAACTCTCCAAGAACTATCGAGGAACTGGCAGAGATCTAGGGTGATACATGTAATATGATATACGTCATGTCACAAACTGATTTAGCCAGGCGCCGTGTATATGTATGTAAATATAAAATTAGCTTAACCCGAGATATGACCCTATATAAATCCTGATATGTTTGTAATCGAATAAAAATGAATCCGATATTTATTATAATATACTTGTTACAAACTGATATAAATCACTATAAATTACTATAACGATATAAATCACTAAAAACACTATTTTATCGCTTAAACATTTATAAAGATGGATTTAGATAGTAATGCCTACTATAAGCTTTGTTCGCCTGATCGTGATGATAGATATAATGAGATAATAAAAGCGATACATCTTTTACAATATAAACATGATAATGAAACACTAGAAATGTGATGCTCTCGTATTCATGGTCCATTTAGAAAAATACTTGAAGAAAATCCAGAAATATTTTCTAAGAATGGATATATTCGCATGTATGCAAAGTTTTATGAAGATGGTAAAGGGTTTCATCCTAACAGAAATCTAACAAATTATATATATTGTAGTTTGTATGACTTTTTAGTATTCATCCTTGAAAGGCTTATAGGTAAATTTCTCTATTGAGATGGTTACTTAAAGAGATGTATTGTTAGCAAAGCTAATCCAATCAAACATGTAAAAAGAAAAAAATTTTTTCAAGCTATTGATAGGAGGAAATTTCAGATCTGGCAGTATAAACAGTATATATTACAAGAAGAGGCTGAAATGAAGCGTTTTCAGCTAGAAGTTTCATCCCAATCTATTCCACATTCAGAAAAGGATAAATTAACATCGATATCATATGATTATGATAGTCATTCAACTGACTATAAAGCTTACCTTTTAGCTAAAGCAACTATGGCAAAAAATATTATGCTAAGTGCTCCAAATTTTGAGCCAGCTTGTATTTCACCTGTCAAACAAGAAGTAATTTCACCAACTTCTTATCAATTATTAGATTCCAAAGAAATTACAAGTAAAATATTTATCTCGTCTCAGTATATAAAAGAAAATAACTTACTAAGTCCTTTAGGATCCTATCATCTGTAAACTATCTTAATTGGCCTATATTAAGATTAAGAGATAAGACAAACATCATGTTCATTTAACTAACTGACTTTGAGAAATATATTAATTATAAACTATTGCTTTTAATTGAAGATTAATATCATTTAGTTAAAGGTGCAATGTAACATTCTTTATTTTTTGCACTATATAATCTATATGCATAATCACCTGGTGAAATGTATTACCTGCAGAATAAAATGTGATCTGCTTATTCTGGATTAGATTCTCCAATATATAACTATTTTAACGAAGTATTATTTCAAAAAGATCAATGAAGCGATTTTAGGGATTCTTGATTACGAGACAATATAACTATTAGTTTGAGAATTTCTATGCGATTGTTATCTAGCAAGCTTATAAGAATTACAAGAAAAAACCTAAATCTTTGGTAAAACGAGTTTGAGAGACAGTGAGAAATGATGGTACTCCTGATGATATGAAATTTTTAGGTATAAAAAATGAATCAGAATAACCAGGATATATTTGTTATATGGATGAGGAATGTTATTATCCAGTAAGAAATAATTGGATGTATGAGAAGAAAGCTTAATTATAGCAATGATTATCTTTTGTAACATTTATTATATCAGTAAAGTTATATAGTTGTTAAAGATATTAACTTGATATGTTAAAATGGTTACGGAATCCTAAATATTATAGTATTTATAAAAAGTATAATTTTGTATACTTCATCAGAATTTCAGAATATGAGATATATAAGATTAAATTATTAAAAATGAAACCTATATGCAATTCACTGTTAAAATACATATATTATATTTATAGGAAGGATATTACCATGAATTTCACAGTACTGATATGTATTTTTGCTCTAGAGGAACAGGCTCTCTGTCATTACTGATTCTGAGTAAAATATATTTATATAGCATTGCCAGGTCTTAGTAATAAGTGGTGAGCGAAAAAAGTTTGTATATGTATTGTCTCCAACACTATTCTAAAAGTTAAAATCTTTAATGCACATTCTGCATGCCTTATTCTCAAATACAAAATTTTAACGTAAAGTGTCTCACACAATTCTCCTATCTCTTTTCTCCAACATGAATGTGAGTTAGAAAGGACATGAATGAAGAAGTCATCAGAGATTTAAAATGACAAGTGTATGAAATTCAAGTTATTCGTCACTTATTATTTTTTCAACAAAATTCTAACACTATATTTTTCATTATTATGTCTTCTTCTGCATTATATGAAAATATTTATAATTTTTTATTTGATTCACCCTCAGATCATATTACTGCATTTTCTGTTATTTTTCAACTAATAGAAGATGATACGTGATATCTAAAAGATAAGTTAAAAGAAATAATTCATCAGGCAATTATAGTAGTAAAAAGAATTACGATCAAACTTCAGAAAAATAACTCATTGATATTCCCTTAAAAGTTAGTGATTATTATTATTATTTTTCAGATTTATAATCCCAAATGATGATTGTACAGAATAATATTTTTATAATCAGATTAAGTAAATACCCATAGCCATATCACTAGTCGAAATAGTCCAAATCAGCTAAAAATCAGATAGCCAATTTTAGGCCGATTTTGATACTATTTATAACTGATTTACCATATTTTCTGATCGGCACAAATAGGTGCCGATAGACACCGATCGACCCCAATCAGACATAGCCATTCAGAACTTAAATTCAACTATAAATCAGCCTAAAATTGGCCTCAATTTAGCAATAATTCAGACGTCGATAGATGCCGATCGACTCCAATCGGACATAGCCATTCAGATTAAATTTTGAGATTCTAAGAATTCCGAACATTTAGTGAATTAGAGCATTCTGCCAGCCACATAAGCGAAGACTACCAG